TCGCAGATTTTAGCTACATTCGATGTTGACTAGTTCGTGCTTTGAAACTAATCGTGACCCACTGCTAGACGTTTTTACGTATGTGAACGTATATTCTCGCAGTTTTCAACTACAGCACCAAGATATTTGTTTTCATTGCTTATAATTTACCAGCGATAAAGAAAATACTCGACATTTTGGCTGCATATTCCTGTTCGGGAAAACACGTTACTACACATATCTCCAGATTTGAATCAATGCTTTGACAGGTATAAGGTATGTAAAAATAAATCACTGCAGCTCATTTTTGGTTATATTTACATTTAGAAAACGTAGAGGCGACTCAACTGGTAAAAATATATTCTTTAGAAATTCACCACTAATAATCTTATTCTAAAACTAAAAAGTATTTTGAATTTACAATTGAGCTGCTATAATTTATTTTGACTTAAACTGTGCCTACCATTGAATCAGTGTTATCCAAGTTTTGTTTTGAAGCACTGTGGTCGTGAAATTTTGCTTAGGTAGTACATATTTTGCAATGTAGTCCAGGCATAAAAATTTAATGCAGATAGATTACAAAAATTTTTGCTGGAAAATTATGAATTTAAAATATTTGTTAGATGCAGTAGCTCTTATATTCTATTTATCTAATGTGAAGTTGTTGATTTCTTGATTGTGAAACTGAGATTATAGTTAAAGTTAATGCAAAACGGTATAGGCTTCTATTTGGTGAAGCATTTGTTGAAAAGGAAATTATGTTTGTGTATTATAAAACAATTCTGCTGTTGAAGAACAGTCTTGTTTGCTACAAATGTCACTGTTTGTACAGACTTTGACATTGTATATGAGTCTGATCCAAGTTTTAATCTATCTTAAAAAAATAATAAGTTGAGTAATGACAAAACTTCGGCATGTTTTCCAAATTATAAAGACCAAAGACCACACCAAATCATTGATTATGTAAAGACCAGAACAAATCATTGATAAACAAATTGAACATGCTCTGGTTTGAAGTACAGTCAGAATGTGTATTTCATTACCAGTAATGTATTGTACCCAGCTGTTTCAGTAAATATTTTATTTATGATTACTGATACTATACTTTCAAAGGATTTCCTAAAGATGCAAAATACAATATTCGAAAGTATATTATTTTAGCATATTGGATTAGCAATAATTATCTCTTGCAGTGGTTAAGAACTTGTAAATTAGAGTAATTTCTGAACATAATGATAAGTCATAATCTTTCTATAAGAAACAGGCTTTGTATGTAAGAAAACTATTGAATCGTTAGCATTAGGACAAATATTTCCAATGATTTTTCACTCGAAAACAATCTTCGTAAATAAATCTTTAGATAAAGATCAGTTAGACACAATGGTCACTACGCACAATCCAGTCTATCGTAAAGCCATTTCTTTTTTTTTCTCGATCCATAATTATGGCGTTATGCAGTTACATGTTTTAGTTATCAAATAATTAATTATTGTAGCCATACCTCCAAAAAACCAAAATATTTTCTCAAAACACAAACAAACTTGTAGTAATCGCCATATAAACACTAGTTGAAATTTTAAAATTAGGAACAAAAATGGCGGAAATTAATCATGCGATCGATATTGTCCAGTCAACGTTCGCAAACCAGAGAACAATACATGTCCCAACTCTTACAAATAGAGGGCTCTGTTCGGTGTATCCAAAGTTTGACGTATGAAACAGACCTTACTTAATGGCGTACCTGGGTATTTTCCGACGCTCAATTGATATATTTGTGTTTCATGCTTATAAATGTGAATTGTCCATGTAAACTTAAATAAATTTCTGTTATGTTTTAGGTCGCTGTTATAAGTTCATAAAAAACTTTTAAATGTAAGAACAAGTTATAATGTATATATCATTTAGGCATTAAAACTTGCATTTACAATTAATTACTAGGGGCTTACTTGAATGCTTGCATTGTATAAAAAAGATTTCAGTCAATGATCATTAGACAATGATATTCACAGTATAGATTCTTTCTTATGTACCAAATAATTTAGTCGTGTTTATTACCTACATGTCGCTCATGTGCTAGGTTATCGTTACGTAATTTACAAAGCTGCAGTTGAATTTGCATTTAATGTTGATGATAAGTTAATCACAATTATTACATGTCACAATCAATCTTTGCGACAGAATCGTTCGAAATTGGAACGAATTTTTACTTGACGTTTGTTTGTTGTATTTTTTCGGTAAGTTTTTAAGTTCAAAATTAATTATACTTTTATTGACAAACAAGGCTTTAGTTCTAAACCAACCGTTACTATCCGTTTTTATCAAAACTTGGAGAATCCCCGTTGCAAACTGCAATCACTCATATCATTCAAAAATATTGTATATATCAAAATGTTTTTTCCTCAAACGTTTATATTAACGTATTAACTTACCAGAATATTTACCAAGACTTAGTTGATATTTTTTATTTTCATTCTTTACAGCAAAATAATCATATTCAGCATATCTTTTGTTTCCTGACCAGTCTCCCAGGTCTACACGAAGTTTATTTCTCCTTGAAGATGTTAGTCGGTATATTTTATTTAATCCAAGCCAAAATTCGCCTTTCAGATCACCAAAACCGTGTTTATAGTCTTTCCAACCTCGATAGAAGTTTACACTTCCATCTAGGCGTCTTTGAAATACAGTCCAGCCACCACCATATGAAGTCATGTCACAGTAGACATTAAAAGATCCTTGACCATCAGGATGAATTTGATAAACTCCACTTTCGCTCTTGCCATTATTTTGTACCTCAGTGCAATCTTTGGCTACTTTAAATTGAAATGTTAAAAATTAAGTTTCTCAAGGTTATGTTATGATAGGATAAACGACTGAATTTTGTGAAAAAGTGTTTTTAAGCGAATGAAATCATTACTAGGTATTATTATTATTTGTTAAAAATTGCTTGTTTCATGTTTCACAGACTGAAAACCTTCAGAACACAAGCATTGCATGTAAGATATGGATATTATTGACTACTGTGAATTACATTTGAAGTGGGGATGCTGTTTTGCAATGCACTCAATTTCAGAATATAAAGTCAATTTCATTGTAATGTGTGCTTACATGAAATTTTTTTATGTCTGAATAGAAAATTCCAGTCTAACTCTAATAGCGTTAAATTGAATAGTAAGAAAGTCATTTGAAATTTTATTAAACCCAGTAGAAATTTAATGCCATCTACTGAAAAACGTTATTACCCATTATTTACATACATTTTTTGACCTTATTTATTGTACCTCTTAAAAATATTGCTTATTTAGGTTTTTAAAGGAAGTGAATTCTTAATAGTAAAACCTAATTTTCTTACATCGAAAGTTAACAAGATATTTATGAATGAACATTATCAGTGCATACCATCCATACTAAGCGGCAGATGACTAATTGCGCAGCCTGTAAGCTTATAAAAATTTGTGGGACTTTAAGTGATATAACTTTCTCCCAAAAATTTCAGTCTTTTGACGAAGTTTCCGTTTCTTATGCTCCATTGCCTTTGCTTCAGTTTTGTTACTCATAGTGTAAACATTATAGAATAAATTTAAATTTCGAACGAGATAAACTCACTACTTTATGAGTTCTATACATAGAGCATTATAATAGTATATCGTACAGTTTCCAACAGGATATATTATTGAAATTTTGATCATTTATCTCATCTAGAATGACAAAGAGTAAAAACTATGTTTAAAGAGAACAGGACTTTTAAAAACGCGGGAATGTAAGCTTCAGCCTACATAGCCTACTGAGTAATCGGACAACGGCCATAGTTGTCTGTTCTTGGAATAAGTTCATAAAGCTACAATCCATTGGTTGAAGACATTTGATGTAATATTATTGAGGTGCACTCATTCTAGGAGGTCTGGAACTGGAAGCATGTCTTTCAAAATGCTTTTTAAAGTTTGTATTTACAGAATTCTTAGTTTAGGAAAGCCAACCAATAATAAACTCAAGGTTGTCTAATATGGTGTATCTAGGTTAGCAGCGCCATGGCTAGATTACTAACTTCAGGAGAAATTTTAAACTTAACCTTAACCCTTACCCTAATCCTAAGCCTACCCCCTCCTTAATGTAGAGAAACTCAAAATGTGTTAATGTTAACATATGCTATTATCATTTAGAGAACCATACACTTTCAATGTTGTGTGCTGAGGAAGTTTTAAGTGTATTGAAGCTTTTCATAAATTTATTACTGATTTCCTGCTTGACCGTAGTGATAATAATGAACTTGCAGGATTCTCAACAAAGAACAAAGTTTTAAAACTGCACAGAGATGCTCTTTATTCATGATCGGTGATAAAAAATCTTGATAAAGACAGTAATATATCCATACCTCTCCTGCACGAGTTACATTCTCCTGAGTATCCTTCCATACACTTGCAGTTTATGGAGGGTGATCTCCGCCAAAATTAATAGCTACATTTTCCAATTACTAGTGCGCATTTTGTCCTTTGCAATGTGCATTTTGTCTTGATCATATTGCATTCTGGAATTTCATAATCGGATTTTGTCCTGTACAATTTCCGTTAAAACGCATTTTGTTGTTGAACATTCCATTATGATGACGTAACATTATTCGTGACTCGCAAAACATCAAATTTTACTCGATCACATTATAATTTATTTATAATTTATTTTCTTCATGCGGTAATAATGAAAACAAAATAAACTAATTGTTTTTCCTACATGTCTACAACCCTGAAACATGGCAGACAGGTTATACTTTGTAAGACTCCTTCGCAACTCTATTTTGGGTTGTATTGCTGACCTCGAAGGAAGTCGAGATCGGGATTTTTGCGTTTTTCGCATTAATTCTTTTTACCATACTACGTTGCGATTTGCTGAAGTATTTGAGCTTGAAGAGGCTGTTCTGCAGTTAATCTCAAACGCAAAAGAACTTTTAAATGTCAATGTTCATCATGATATTAATCCATCTTCTTCATTGAGCTGCCCTCAAGTTTTCAGTGGCACACCAGGACGACCAATGTATGAAGTAAACGAAGATATTCTGCGTTATTTTTTGGATAAGCGTTTTACAGTGAAAGATACGGCAAATCTTCTGGGAGTCAGCAAAAGAACCATTGAAAGGAGGATGAACGAGTTTGGTTTATCAGTTTCTAATTGTTATTCTGACGTTAACGATTCAGATCTCGAGTTGGTCATAAGAAACTTAACGAACGAGTTTCCCAATCTTGGCTACAAACGTATGTCAGGATTGCTATTAGCAAGAGGTTTGCGAATTCAGCAGGACAGGATTCGTTAAATGATGCGAAGAGTTGATCCACAGGGTACATTGTTTCGTGCTTTGTCTCTTAGAGCAGTGCACAGACGTAAATATCATGTTACTAGCCCTTTATCACTTTGGCATGTTGATGGCAATCACAAATTGATTAGGTGGGCTACTAAAAAATACCTATTTTGTGGCGTTAATAAATCTCAGTTTTGCATACAAATGTGCTAGTAGTTTCATATTTTTAGATGGCGATTTGTGACTTTATTCGCTGTAGCACAAACAATCGAGCTGATACTGTTCTAAGACTATTTCTATCTGGTGTATCTCAATATGGACTGCCATCCAGAGTAAGAACTGATAAAGGAGGTGAAAATGTTGGCATTGCTCAATTTATGTTAAACCACCATTTGCGAGGACCTGGTCGTGGCAGTCATATTACTGGAAGAAGTGTGCACAACCAACGGATTGAGCACTTTTGGCGAGATCTTTTTGTTGGTTGTACAAGTCTTTTTTATCATTTATTCTATCATATGGAAAGTAATGGAATATTGGATCCATCAAATGAAGAACATGTGTTTTCATTGCATTATGTGTTTTGTCCAATTATTAACAGAAATTTGGAAATTTTCCAGGAAGGTTACAATAGATCTCCCATAAGAACAGAAAGAAATCTATCACCTGAACACCTATGGATCCAAGGATCTTGCTTAGCCAATAATTCAAACAACCATATACAGCAGGTATTTTTATGCAATAACTCATGACTTTACTTTTAGACTAAACTTTACATTATAATCATCAGACTGGATCCAAAGCTAATTGATGTATGTTGAAGTCAGAATCTAATTTAATATTCCAATTCACTAAGGAAAACCAAGAATTTCCACCCACCTTTACACAAAACTACGCATGTCATGAAACAGATCAGCAACAAGTGATTGTTCCAGAAACCAACATTCCATTGAATGAAATAGATCTTGATGAGCTGCAAAGAACCATTAATCCTTTAAGGCCTTCTAATCATAATGGTGCTGACATATACATTGAGGTGCTTCAGTTTGTAAATACCAGACTGCACCAGGAAGACGAGTGACATTGTGAACTCACAAAACAAGAAAAGCTACTTGACCTATTGTTCATTGGTGTCAATTCAGATAATACAAAAGAAGATATGTATGGCAAGGAAGGCTATAAATTTTTCATTATAGTGATTATTCAAACATTTTAACAGAAAATGTTTTTTAGCACATAAATGCTGATGCACTGACAGAACAAAATTTAATGAAACATTAACATATTCCCTTTAAGTCTTTAACTATAAAAATGATATCCAAAACAAAGAATAAAAATATTTCAATTTTGTGCATCATCCATGTTAGCTGTAACAAGCTATGTTATTGCTGAAAGAGATGTATAAACTGTTCGAAGATCAAATATTGGTAAATCTTCTTGAACCAAATTGCAAAGCTCTATCCAGTTTAGCTTTCAGTTCATCGAAGTTTTCATAACATGGAAGAACTAACAAATGAAAACAAGTTCTATTTTCTGGCAGCAGATTACGATCTTTTGTTCTGTCAACTTTGAGATGCAGGATTGCACCATTTGCAGGCAGTAAATTACACCCAGTCCAAAAAGACAACAGATCTTTAAGATTTGCCCCTAGGAATGGACAAGTATTAAAGTATTACTATAACTAGTACCTCAAACAGTCAAACATTTAAGTTTTTTTTGGAGAAAGCAAAGGTCAAATTTAAAAGCAAGAAAATATTACTGACATTGACATTGTTCAAACAGATAAAGTTACTGCTGCTCCAACATATAATATATAATCAGTTGTGGTGCAAATATTAAAAAGCAAACCATATTCACACAAAAAAACACATACATAGACTGACTACAACCAATTACAACCTTCCCTGCATCTTTCTACCAAAACACTTACCACTAGTTGTCCCATCAATTAGATCAATGTATTGTTTCAAAAACAACATCAGTTGATTACAATGAACGCCTTCTTTTTCTTCTTCAATTTCAATAATTCTTTTTAAGTCGTCTTTATTAATAAGAGAAGCAGTTGATTGTCGATACGAAAAATGCAAAAATCCCGATCACGACTTCCTTCGAGGTCAGCAATACAACCCAAAATAGAGTTGCGAAGGTGTCTTACAAAGTATAACCTGTCTGCCATGTTTTAGGGTTGTAAACTTGTAGGTAAAACAATTGGTTTATTTTGTTTTCATTTATATTACCGCATGAAGAAAATAAATTATAAATAAATTATAATGTGATCGAGTAAAATTTGATGTTCTGCGAGTCACGAATAATGTTACGTCATCATAATGGAATGCTCAATAACAAAATGCGTTTTAACGGAGATTGTACAGGACAAAATCCGATTATGAAATTCCAGAATGCAATATGATCAAGACAAAATGCACATTGCAAAGGACAAAATGCGCATTAGCAATTGAAAATATGGCTTTTAATTTTGGCGGAGATCACCCTCCATAGCAGTTCAATGCTACATTAATTTTACGATAGTATGTGTTGGGTCCACACAAAGGAAAGTGAAAAATGCTTGTCGCTATATCGATCAATAAAATAAAAATAAAATTAACCACGGATTTTAAACGAAACATATTCTTCCTCAAAGAACGCAATTTGTCACTCAGTATCCACGTTGACGTACCCAGCAAGCAAGTTTGTTATGCAATGTTGGTAATTTTGGTGTTCGCGCATTTCGTAAAAACAAAATAAATGTTGAAAATTTACAGAGTATGAACAAATTTGCTGGCTGTTTGGGACACTATAAGGGATATACTAAAGAAGTTAGATAATTGAAAAATGTTTAGAAAATTATCAATTCATCAGTAGTTCTCACAAAATGTGTCAAAGCTCATATATTTTGGCATGGCTTTGCCTTGTTTATTTAAAGTAAAATGAATGAAAAAACTACTCTCAAAAACCATGTGAGTACTTCGTAATCGCCTCAATTTGAACAGCATGCACAAAGAAAATGAAAAGTTTCAAATCTAGTTTAATTAAAAGGTGTAAAAGTTTAAACTCTGTTTTGCAATATACTGAAATTTTAAGAAATTTGATAAACATTAAGCTCACTGCACAACAAGCTCAATTTGGAAGTTTTTCAATCTATTTTCATGATTTTTTTTATTTAAGACTGATTTCAAGCCCAAGTAATTGTTTAAATGATGTAGGAAACAATTATAACTTAAATTTAATACCCAAGAAGTTTGATAAGAATAGACAAACGGCAAAAATGTCCAAATTAGACACTTTGCACTTTGAACTTAATGTTCATCAAATTTTTTATAATTTTGGAAGGAAGAACAACCGTTTACTAAGGCAATGTAACTTTGAACTTTTTAACGTCTTTCTATTTTATGAACATTAGCGTGGGAGTTTTTGCAAGTATTAGATTATTATGTCAAATAAGTAAATATTTAACTACCGTTTGAGTCAGGAGTGATACTGTGCATAGCTACAGCCAAATCAAGATAAGCGTTGTTTACAGGAAGAAAATATTCACGTCTCGTACGTTGATCTGTTGTGTTATGGACACTAACGACACTTCGTCCAACACTAGTTATGATATAAATGAAATCCCCAAATACTGCCATGGGACCTCGTGAAGTTCCAAAATCAGTTACATTTTGGGAGTAGTAAACATAGGAAAAAATATTTCCGCTTGAATTTCGCCAATAAATCTTCTCTTTAGCCATGTCAAGCGTTAGATCATGTGCTATTGACTGAAGTGAAACTGAAAGAATATGATGTTTATTTGCACTCACGCTCCATAACCATAAGAAAAGTTCTGTACTTCCTGCCAAGAATAGATACCTTAATAAAAATATTTGTTTTGCACATTAGTTTTCTCAATACGTACTGAAATACATAAACAATTGGTAAGCTAATATATGGAAGAAAGGAAAGATAGAATACTTTTTTAGTTTAGACAAAGATGTTGTCAAAGTATTCGGAACTACTTTCATATACAGACGGTTTAATGGAAAATATTCATAAAATTTGATGATATAGCAACATAAAGCTATTGTAACTAACAGGAAAAGATCACCTCTATCATCTGAAATCTCTCTTTTAAAAACCGAACTAAAATATATGAAGTAATTTAACATTGCATGAGGTTCAGAACATAATAATAAATGTAATATGTTATTTTTATTCACATAACTTCTATAATGATTGGTATTGTTTGCGATTATTGTCGGAATGAGTAATGCTGTAGTTTAGAGTGGCTGCTGAATGAATTGTGTTGGTAATTGATAATGCTGAAAATTAACTGATGCGTGGAATTTTTGTTCGAATTGAAAATTTGGTGTTGGTAAATGTTATGCACCATTTCATGTAGATATAAAATTAAGAAAGCTTTGTCATTTCAAATTTAGGCTTTCTTAATTTTTCAGTTCCATCTTGCATGAAAATTAGCAGCTTCTTGGATGGATCATCATCCACAAATGTTTTTAAAAGAGCTATAGCTTCAAAAACATTGTCTTTTGTTAATACTTTTTTTCTGTTTGTTTGGACAAACGTTTTTTTATAACTATCTTAACCTTCTCTTTTTAATTGTCAAATTTTTTCATTATTTTTCTGAAAAATCAGAAGAAGATTGACACTGGAGCTAACGCTATTGGCATCATTTAAAAATGTTGACTCTATCGCCGTGTCATGTTCGTGTTTTTTAGAATCTTTGAATTGGACAAGCTGCAAAAACTGCTTGAACACTATGGCCTTTACTTTATCGAAAATGTTTGATAAAACTGGTAGTTTTGATTATCATCGCAGCATATTTGCATTCTCCAATACATTTCTTAAATGTATTATATATTTGAAAAACAGTAAAGTCCATGTGTTCTTGTCGTTCATTGCTACTTGCCCCGAACTCTTTAAAAACTTTCTCGTATATATTACCGTTCTTTTGGCTTTTTGTGTTCGTGAAACTTAACTTTTTCTTGTAATATGATAACAATTAATGCCTAACATAAAGTTTTAATTAGAGCTATAGAAATAAACCAAAAGCTGTAAAATTGAATTTATACTGACATTTCGTCCTTACTCAAGACATATTCAGGCAAGTAATAATTTATAATGAGATTTTAAGACAAGATATTGTATTTACAAAAGGTGTTGAATTACGACTAAAGGAGGCGGTGTCAAATGGATTATATGATAAAGAAGTTGGAAAGTAAAATTTAGTGAAGTTAAGAGAGGTTAAGTGGAATGGAACCTACTTGCACGAAGAGTGAAGGCTTGTATTTATTGATTAGAAGGCTCTCATGAATGGAGAGTTCATAGGAATCGTTAGAAGAGGAAATTATTTTAAAGTCGTAAATTATTTATATCATATTCAGAAAGTTCTCGCTCCAGAAGGCTTTTAAGCCAATTTCTTTTTAATCACATGATTATTATCTTCAGATTCATCATCAGTGGAGCAACTACAGACCTAACGTTTTCCTAAGCTACGCTAAGAAACACTGCATGAACTAAAGGTCGTGAAATGATTTTCCATTCAGGTGATTTGATTGGAGGTGTGATTGAATTTATTAAAGGGAAGTGTGCAGCCACTTAATTTGCAGCTCTTGACTTTTCAATATACTCTGCCATTCAATGCAAGTTAAAAGAAGCCTTGAAAAACTATAAACTTGATATATTTTATGTTTTTCTAAATTGCCACGTTTTTGAAAACTAAAATCCATTTTTATATTTTTCATGTAACTACGTGGGAATGTGTGTAGTTCTTTTATCTTCATTACAAAACGAAAAGTTGAAGTTTTTTACGTTCACCACATTCGTGAATATTTATAAATTTATTGCCATTCCGTATTGAGATTGTTGCACATCCCTTACACTGCCTCAAAAAAGTATACAAAAGAGCACAGTATAGCAACAAACAATGCTCCCAATTTGTTGAAATCCTATGTGTAGGGCATATCTTATTAAGCATATGATTACCATGGAGGCGTCAAGCAAATTGCATTTTCTGTCATAGAAAAGCGCTCTTAGGTGGCCAGCCTAAGCAATTAATGGAATTAAATGTACAACACTTAGTTGCACATTGAAGTCGTACTACTTTTTTGTAGGTTGTGGAAAGCCAAGGTTCTGTGAGTATTTGACTAAAGTTTTATGTGCAAAGTAATTATTTAATATTTTATTTCAGTTTCTAACGCTCTGTTTTATTTCATTTAATGACTTCATCATATAAAAACAT